GAACTGAGGCAAACACGAGCGCTTGCAACATGTGGCATGCCAATTGCCGGTGCCCGATGGGTCCAATGGCCCGATGGCCCGATGCCCCCCCGATTGCCTAATGCCCCGATGAGCGACGCCGAAATCTAGCCTTCAATGAGCAAACAGCTGATGCGTTTATGAATGAAAAAGCTCCGAGCGGCATTCCTCAAGTTCAAGGCAAAAAGCTTTGCACTGAAAACACTACGGCTGCTGCTAAAGCTAAACAGAAAGTAACGGCAATTAATTTCAACTGGAAGATAAGGATTGAGATTTAAGTTTGGACTAAGAGCTAGGTAAGTAAATGAGATTAGGGAGAGAATGATATGAAGAGGCTAAGATGCAGAGAGAGATAGGGAGAGACAGGCAGAGAGAAAGAAAGAGACAAGGAGCACGAGAAAAATAGAGATAGAGAGGGACCCAGAGACAGAGAAAGAGGGGTAGAGAGGGATAGACAGAGAGTGAGAGAAAAAGAGAGAAAGAGAGAGAGAAGGAGACAAGGAAAGTGAGAGAAATAGAGATAGTGTGACTACGAGGCAGAGATAAAGCGCGAGAGAAAGAGAGAGTGGAAAGAGCGAGAGAGACAAAGAGATGTAGCGAGAGGAGAGAGAGAGGCAGAGGGAGATAGATAAAGAGATACCCTACAAGACTTTTTTGAGTATAGCACAAAGAGATGATAGTTGGGAGAAGCGTGTTGCAGATGATATTTGAACTTTAGGAGAAGAGCAGAGAACATGAACATGAATTTGTTGAGAATTGAATAGAGAGGCGTTGCTAGCCCTGAACTGCTTTGAAACTGCTTGCAACGGCCACTGCTTGTTTTGCCCCACTCGCAATGAAAACTTAATTTGATTTCTGATAAATAACTTATTTAATAATAATTTAAATATATATAGATATATGGAAAGATTATCATAGATAGCAAGAGATGAAAAAAAAAAAAACAAAAAAGTGCTATAGAAAATTTGTGGACAAGATGAAGCCCAACAGCTGGTGGATGGTTTAGTAGTGCTGATAGCTGTGCTGCTGCTGCTGCTGCTGCTGCTGCTGTTTGGTGGTTGTGATGCGCGAGATTCGCCTGGGCGAAGATGTGTTCGATTTCGGCATTGCTCAGCTGATCAAAGATATCCTGGGCGCCATGGCCGGCGCTGGAGGACGTCAGCTGTGCGGATTTGCGTGCCAACGGGCGGCAGGTAGCCTGAGAAGTGCATAGAAAGGCGCTGAGTAGAAAAACAAAAGGAAAACCGAGACCATTCCTCTAGGACTCACCATCAGCTGGCGTGCTGCCGTAGGGCGGCAACAGGGTTATGGATGGGCGGCCGGGCGTGGCTGGTGGCTGATAGAAGACCGGCCTCCATGGCTGCTGCGGCTGTGTGGGCTGTGGCGAGGGCAGCGGCTGCTCGGGCTGTTCCGATTCCGGTGTGCTGGGTATTTGCGGCGAGGCAATGGCGGTGCCAGTGTCCGGCTGCACCGGCGTCGATCCAGGCAGCGGCACTATGCCACCCGGGAACTGCGCCTCCGGCTGACCGAAGCTGGGCGGCTGCTGTGGCAGCGGCGGCTGCACGTTTGCCGGGAAGAATTGGCTGTTGGCGGAATGCCGGGCGCAGCGGGAAACGCGGGCACAGTTGGTATGGCCGGAACAGTGGGAATAGCGGGTACAGCGGGCGCGGTTGGAGTGGCGGGAACAGTGGGAGCAGCGGGAGCAACGGGTACGCTAGGCGCCTGTGGAAATTGTGGTACCTGCGGGAAGGGGAACTGTGGCACGCCGAACTGTGGGAACGTTGGGAACTGTGGGAATTGTGGTATCTGCGGTATATCTGGAATTTGTGGTATTTGCGGAATTTGTGGAATTGTGGAACTTGTGGAATTTGTGGAACTTGTGGAACTTGTGGAGCTTGTGGTATCACTGGAACTTCTGGGGTTGTAGGAGCAGCGGAACAGCGGGGAAAAGCTGGAACAGCGGGTACAGCGGGAACAGCTGGAACAGCTGGCTGCACAGCAAATGTGGGCACAGCTGGAGCTGAAAACTGCGGCACTACTGGAAACTCAGCCGTGGAAAAGCTAATGCCAGGATGAACGGGCTGAACGGGTTGAACGGGTTGAACGGGTTGTATGGGCTGTATGGGCTGAACAGGCTGAATGGGCAACGCGGGAGCAGCAGGCACAGGCGCGACAGTCTGTACATAAGAAGGCTTCGGAGCGATTAGATCAACAAACTACAGAGCCAAGCTAGTGAGCTTACCTGGACGGCATGATGATAGTGGATTCGGCTTCAAGGGTCTATGCAAATGCTGATGCGGATAGTTGACGCTGTAGGAGGAGACAACAGCATTGCCCGGACGCAGCACATACGAGGGTCCAGCTGCAACAGCAGTGGCAATGCCACCCACAGCAGGGGCAATGCCACCCACAGCAGAGCCAATGCTGCCAACAGCAGGCAGGGCGGGCACAGCGGGCAGGGCAGGCACCGCCGTCACCGATGTGGCAGCGGGCAGGAAACCAGCGGCAGCATTGGCAAATTGCTTGATATGATAGCCAGTGGGATACTTGATGAAGCCATGATGGCGATGAGCTGGTGCTGCAGCTAGGAAAGTAGCCGCTGCTGGCAACTGCAGGCTATAGCCATACTGCGCCGCATAGGTACGTCCTGGCCAATGGCCGGATGCGCCATGGAGTATGCCACGCTTGTGCTTGGCTGGCTGTTGAGGACTGCCTCCTCGGCCACAGATGCCGACACCTCGAGCTGCTGTTCCGTGGTATCAGCCTCAGCTGTCGAACTGCTGGTGCTGCTGCTGCTGCCGCTGCTGCTGCTGCTGCTGGTGGTAGCCACGGTGGTGGGCGTGGTGCTGACCAGGCGGCTGGAATGACGCCGGCGTAAGGCTGCTTGGGCAACGCTGCGCTGGCCAGCACAGCGCAGAGCAAGAGCAACAGGTGCAAAGGTTTGCTCCTGGCACAAATCACACTCAAGCGGGCCACTCATCACGTGATATATATGAATAGGGGTATATATATATATATATTGAGTTGTTAATGGTTCCACTGTGCTTGGGGTAATCCGTATCAGCGTTTGCGTTGGATTATGTCAACGCGTCGATTGTTGCCAAGAAAATGAAATGAACTTCCTTGGTGTTTGGTTGTATTTATAAAGCGGATGTCGACGTGCAATGGCCAACAGCTAGCCAGCGAGCCGCTGAGCCGCTGAGCCACCACAGCTGCATACCAAGTACCATCAAATGCACCACGCACCACGCACCACGCACCACGCACCACACGCTGCTCATCGGCATGGCCAGCGGCAATTGGGCAGTTTATGGACTTTTACGCGACCATTTCACCTGGCTGGACAGGGGCTCATTATGCTAACGCCAAGCAGATACCGTTCCACGTTCCGAGCCGAGCACCACAATCTATGCCGCACAGTGGGACGCAACAGATGTTCACCAAACACAAAAAACACAACCATTTTTAGTGAGATGATTATATTGGCAGTAAAATTCGAATTTATTTGCATTTCGTTTTCTGTAGTGTTCCATTTCCATTCGTTTCAAGTGATTGATTTACATATGTAAATTTATACATAAATATTCAAAAGGATTTATTATGCATTTTTTCTTTTCATTTTGAATAACACGTGTCTCTGTTCCATTTCCATTTTGTTTTCAATTGATGATATACATATGTACATATATACAAAAATATTATAAAGGATTTATTATAAACTAGTTACTATTTATGTTTTAATAACAAGTGTCTCTGTTCCATTTCCATTTGTTGCACTTAAATAATCTAATATATAATACACCTATATTCAAAAAATGGTTACTAAATGCATTTGCCTTTGTTTTGTTATTTTTTATGTAACGTGCATCTGTTCCACTTCCATTGTTTCGCTGAATCGAAATTCATGCTATATTTTCAATCAAATCTGTATTTAAAATACATTTATTTACACTCTCTTGTTTCATTTTTATTTGTTTCTCATTCCACTTGTTTCTCAAGCAGTGATCCAATGAACGTTTAGTTTTGCTTACATAACATTTCCATTTTCAATTACTGCTATTTAAAGCAATCATAAAATGTGTTCCATTTCCACTGTTTCCTTAAATTCTTCAACTACTGATCAATTGTAAAGAGTCGTGAATTGCTTTACTAAAAGAGAAAAATTTGAGATGTTTGAAGCCTTAAAGTCTTTCATTTCCAACTGTTCCGTTTGTAAGCTATCTTACTGAGTTGTTTTCTTCATTCTACTTCTAATCCGCAATATCTTTTTACCTTTGTTTTTCGTCTGCCTTTTCGGTTTCATTACCACTGTACATTATTATGAGGGGGTGGGCAAGTCTGTCGGCCTGTGCTGTCCCCACTGTCTGGCCACCTGTGCCGCTGGCACGTTTCTGCACGTACGAAACAACTTTTGTTTTCATTTAGCATGTTCCGCATTTCTTATTGTTGTTGTTTTCACTTTCTGGTGGGTTGAAAAGGCAGCCGATATTATTCACTCAATATTTTTGGGCCATTTTGATGGCGAGCCGAAGCCTTTTATGACCCGGTTACATCACAAAGTGCAGCCCATCAGCGGCGGACAAACGAAACTGGGCCAATCAAAGCCGAGCAAAGTGCTGCCATTTGCTGTGTTTGAGGAAGCGAAAGCAAATTTAAAATGCAAAGCAATGTGAGAAGCGAGGAAGAAAGAAGAAAACAAATAGCAATTGAAGTACTTCGATAAACTGTTAATTAGTTTGATTCGATTTTGATTTTATTGTATTTCGCTTAGCTTTAGTTAAAATTCAACATTCACACGCATAAATTTCACTTGCACTAAATTTGATCGAGCTCAGCTCATAATGAAGGCGTGGCAATTGACATTATATCACACACACACACACGCACACACACTTATCGAATCTGAAATGAACTTTCAATTACAATTTACATTTTCACTTTTTGGAAAATCAACGATTTGAAACGAACACGCTCAACTAAAATGGAAAAACCTAGTCAAGGTCTTTCCCAAGCTGGACGAGCGTACAATAAATTTGTACTTTTAATATGTTAACAAGGTTTATACAATTTTTGTATTATTATTTAAGGAAATCATAAAATAAACGCGTGGAAAACGTGTTTGGCATGCCTGAACGTTCCGCGATTCCGCAACAGTTTTCTATAGCTTAAAGCCCGAGTGTATGCTAACGACACCGAAGGTTAGATTCTCGTAGGATACATGCGAGAAGCCAGCCTGTTCGATCATGCTCTTGAATTGATCCTGGCGTGGAAAGCGTCTTATGCTCTCCACTAGGTATTGATACGCGTGCCATTGCCCAGCCAACAGTTGACCCATGGGCGGTATCACTTGGAAAGAGTATTGATCGTATAGCCATTGCATTGTCTCATTGGTCAAGTGGCTAAATTCCAGGCACATGAAACGTCCGCCAGGCTGCAGCACACGATAAGCCTCGCTGAGCACCTAATGCAAAAGAGTGACTTAGCTAAATGTAGTCCAGGTATAGGTCCATTTACTCACCTTGTCCACGTGCGTGCAGTTGCGTATGCCAAAGGCATTGTGTAGGCAGTGATAGGTATCGGCTCTTGAATGGGCAACTTCTCGGCCTCGGCACACTGCCAATCAATGCTGGCATTGGGCAGCTGCTTAACGGTCAGTCCCAGCTGACGGGCACGCTCTTCGCCCACATTCAACATATGCTGATTGATATCGGGACCGTACATGACTTTCCCGTTGCTTGGGATTTGGCTTATTGGCCAAATATTTCAGGTAACGAAAGCTGATGTCGCCTGTGCCACCGGCCATGTCCAGCAAACGCATACCATGCTCTGGTCCCAGGCGCTCAACGAAAATATCCTTCCACACACGATGTATGCCCATGGACATGGCATCGTTCATCAGATCGTAAGACTGGGCACCTGCTGAAACACCTCGTTGTACTATATGGATTATGATGCTAAGTCAATATCGCCCTTGAGTGCATATATATATGTTATTTACCCTTGCGCTCTTCTCGCTCTCCTTGACCGTCTGGTAGCCAAAATGTGTTGTCTGCTCTGTCCGCCGGCCGCTGCCGCCAGCAGAAGCCCGTTGTTTCATTAGTAGTATGTTGCAACTGTGCGCCTTAGCATGGAAGCGGGTCAGATGGCACAAATTGCGTGTTGTTTGCATAATTATTTAATACAGCTTAAAGCTAATTTAGCGAACTAAATGTTCAATCAAAATATTATGAAATATATTAAAAAAAAAAAATTGTCGCACAACAGCGGAAACTAACGCTGTTTGGTATTGGTCTGTCACACTTATACATATTCGATTAATATAAGCAAAGGTATTGATGTTATCGATAAGACATAAGCAATCAGATTGCGGCTGCAAGTAACATATATTCATAAATTCAAGTGAATCAATTTGTATTTGTTCCACTGATTAATATCAAAATGTTGATATTATCTTTTTATGCTTACCAATAATATATTAAGAACTGCGTAAGTGCGTATAGAACGACAATCTAGGCATCTATAAATAAATAAAGATAAATATGTATCCCTCCTCCGATTTTAACGATTATACCATAGACGCATATTATTTGACTCTAATACTATTTATAAATTTGATATCGTATTATAACAATTTTACAGGCATTCCAGTAAAAATACCAAAATAATATTACACTAAATGAATAATGCTAGTCGATATTTCGCTACACTGAAGAATGTGCAGTATTATTGATATAGTTGAGTTGACGTTTTTCGAACGGCCCCAACATGGTCACACTGCTCAGTTGAGCGTTCAATTTGTTGCTGATCTTTCGTGCGCTCAAGTTGCAAAGCGACGCATTTATTTTATTTTACCAATAACATTTTTTTTTTGTATTTTGCTGCTTTAAAGTACGCGCGCCGGCTGTTCAAATAACATACGTATGCTAAAATTTAAATTTAGTTGTTTTTTGAAACGCAAAGTTCAGTGTGCACCGCTCTTTGTGTGAAATGTGCTGAAAAATGTGTTTTTTTTATTGTAAATAAAAATTAAACGAAAACAAATATATGTTGCTATGCAAGCGAATTGCACCTGTGTCTGCGCACTCAGTGAAGGCCTGAAGAGCCAAGCCACAAAAGTGTAAAGTGCACTGGCCAGCAATAGCAGCAGCAGCAGAATTAAGCCGAAAACAAATACGAAACACAACAAAAGCGACAACAGCAACAACAGCAACAAAAGTTATTTTCTCGTTTTTCATTTTGCAACTCGAGAATTTCGCGCGTCGCTCGCTGCGCTCCAATTGCAGAAGCGCTTGGCTATTGTTGTTGCTGGGCGTGCTTCTCTTCTTCTGCTAAGCGACCCACACACAAATGAGGTAAAGAAAAACCAAAACACAAACACACACCCATACACATACACAAGATTTACAACACTTGTAATTCGATGCCTTCGTTTGTTTACGTTTTGCTATTGTTAAGCCATAGGGTTGCCAGACCGTCTGTGGCGGCAAACCTAAGCCGCCTAACGGCTCGACACCAATTTTTCGTCCATTGCGTGCGGCCTTCAATTATAAACTTTATTAAATACAAAATAATATTTGGGGTTTTTTTGTCACTGTCATCGTGTCTAATGATTTGCTCATATGGGTTCAAGCAACTAGAAGTTCTCGTGCGCCACGCCCCCGGCCTGGGGGCCGCTCGCTTTCCATGCGCGGCCAATTGATTATGATTAGTGATGGCGCGTTTGGCCTGAACGGCTAGCGGCTGACTAAGTTGAAGCCAAGCTTATGCAACTGCACACACACACACACACACACACACATTCAATCAGTGTTTAAGCGCGAGGCAAAAGACTTTCGAATGGCGTTTGGCGACTTGTGGGCCAATCGTTAATTGCATTTCCTGGCCACTCGTCAATCATCAACATCAACATCAACGTTCATTACGATAAGCATCATCATTATGATCACCAGCATCAAAATAATCATCATCATCATCAATTTGCGGCGTTAATTGTATTTTAATTACCAGGCGTTGGAGTTGCTGTTGTGATGCTCTGGTCACACTGCAAGAAATTGCGGTATTTCGCAGTATTGCAAAATGCATAAAACAAACACAGCAAGCAGCCCGATCGCATGAGCTGCACTTAAAAATACCCTGTAAATAGATGCCATTTGACTTAAGAAGAGGAACAAAATTTTACTGGAATAGAACTTTAAACTTAGGCAGGGAAAGACCTATTTAATTGGCAAATAGGACAAATTTTCTTATAAGAAATTGCCACTATGACTTAGCATATAAGAAAACGTATCGCAAGGACGACCTCAACATGGAACTGTGAGACAACTTTGCTACGGGAATATGGAATATGTATGACTGGGGCGTTAGAAAAGCGAATTGGTTATGGAGGAACAGTTATAGCAGCTTTTGGCATAAGAAGGCAGAAAAACTATGGGTATTTCCTGTTTTGCACAGGACTTGACTACAAATCCAAATTCAGCAAGAAGTTACCCCATAGTAATATGCTATACAGGGTATAAAATGCATAATACAAAATGCCAATTCACGGTGCGGCATATCTCATAGATACACAAAATTGAAATTATAAAAAATGCTGCTGCTGCTGCTGTTGCAGGCGGCCCCATGAAAAGGCTCCTTTTGTAATTCAAAACTGCCGGCAAAAAGGCAGCAAAAACGAAAATCAGTTACTGAACGGGCATATCCGACTGCCTAATACTCGTTCCATACATTAAGTTGCCTTTTGCCCTTGCTAGTTCCATAAATGAAGGATCTATATGGAACTGCCACGCCTCAAGTGGAGGTCTATAGAGAAGCTGTGGAATAACTCGCTCCAGGTTCTGTGAGGCGAGACTATGCAAGCTTGATTGATCTGCCTCATGGCAGCTGAAAAACTTGCCAAGTTTATTAAGCAATTTCAAGGCTCTAGCTAAGGCAGCAGCAGAACCATATACACTCTCTTCTTACGTGCTGAGCGAGAGTATGCATATATAAAGAAATAAAGCAGCAACCAGTTGAACGCCCAGCGGCCCAGTCCCAGTCCCAGTCCCAATCCCAATTGCAGTTGCCCAGCAGTTGGCCGCCTCGGACGGCATTTCTAACAGTCTGGACGGACCGCAGGGACGGAGAGACGAAGTTGGGGACTGGTTGGCGCTGCGGATTGGAATTTGTAGGATAAGCAGCAGCAGCAGCCGCAGCAGCAACTGTTGCAGCCGGGCAAACGAGCGAGCCAGTTTTTACTTAACAACAACAAATGCAGCCGACAAACAAACAATTTCAATTGCTGTTGAGTGCCTTGCAAGGGTATCTCTGAGTGCATGCAAATGGGTAAGAGTGCTCGCGTCGGGAGTATCCGACTAGCAAACGTGCTGACTGCTGACTGCAGTTAGTACGGCTGGGCTTAGCCATGCGAAAGTTTCGTTAAAGAGAGCGGGTATATTGGTGGGTTGAAAATGTTTGTAACAGGCAACTGAAGACGTGGCCAAGCTCATGGGAAAACATGGGAATCAGTCAAATTGTTCCTTCTAGTGGGATGCGAATGAAAAGTGTCGCTGGGTATATTAAACTCTAGAGATCGAATAGATGCAATATATATTTATCATGCAACCAGCTTAATATATTTATCGATAACTCAGCTCATCGATAAAAGTCGATCTTTTGAATTGGCCTTTGATGCATAAACTGAAGCGCATCAAAGCTAGACACAACTCATTTGGCATGTGGACTATAAATGCCTCAGATTATGTCTAGATCTTCTCTTTACCTCAACCAACTTACCAACAGGGTATATGCTAGTCATGCTGCTTTTGTATTCTTCTGTTCAGGCCCAATTTGGCACACTGAGTTAGCTTTAAAGCCGAGAGTTTAGCCATTTGGCTTGTGTTTCCTCTTAAGCTTAAGTCGTTGATATATCTAAATCCTTTTGATGCCTAATTTCGCTCAGTGTAAACGGCTCTAAAAATCTAGCAAATCTCATATTCTAACCAGTTTTAACTTTTGTTTTTAATTTAACAAATGCAAACAGAACAGATAAAGAGAAAGAGAGAGAGAGAGAGAGAAGAATGAGGGCTGCTCAGGCAAGAGAGAGTAAGAGAGAGGTAGATAGGGACTCGCAGAGAGGCAGAGAGACGAGTTCAGCTTGTTGCAACTTTCGCTGTGCAGAAGAGAAGGATGCAGTGCGGCAGGAGAGTTGACAGAAGCGTGGATCTATTTTTGCAGCTGACTTTATCAGAGGCCACGCCCAGTTAAGCCAGTTTTGCTTGTGGGACAGACAGTTTGTTGTTGTAGTTGTCGCTGTGGGCAGCTGCGCGTTTGCCAGCTGTTGCGGCGCGTCAGTTGCTGCGGCAGCTGTGCGCGTGGGCAAACGAATGACTTAGGCAACAAACTTGCCGCACTTCAATTAAAAAAACAACAACAACGAGCGACGAACAAACATCAATTTATGCAAAACAATTCAATTTTTGCGCGTCGCTCGTTCGGTCATTTACCCTGACAATCGCATTAGGGCGCAACAGCAGCAGCAGCAACGGCAACTAAACGTACTTGAAACAAAGTTTCGTGTCACGCCTCAAAAACATCGTCGAACGTTTCACACGCTGCTGCAAGTGGGAGGCTGTTGCTGCTGCTGCTGCTGCTGCTGCTGCTGCTGCAGGTGTGTGGGAATCTTGGCAAAATAGCAAAAGTTCAATAGCATCGCATCAGCAGCAGCTGCTGCTGCAGCAGCATCTACCTTTTGCCTACACTGACAGAAAACACAAAATGCAAGCAATTTTCTTTATTAATTTGGTTTCTTCTCTGAAAGGCAGCATTGCTATGCATACAGTGTTCACTCGTTAAGAGCAACTTTAAGCGTTTTTCTTTAGGTAAGCAGTAGCTTGGCTCTGAGCGGCTTTGCTCGACTAGCAGTTGCTGTGCTTCTGCTG